GTAATTCTTGAGCTGCTTCTTTTTGGGATCTTGTAATTCACCAAATTTATGACTGCTTGAAGCTAGGATAGTTAGAAGGATACTTTATACTCAATGGGTGGTCAGATCACCTTCATCCAAACTTGTTTGGCTAATAGTATTCACCTCTACATTCTTACAATTTTGAAAGCAGGTGGGAATAGCTCAAAGAATAGAGAAGAAAACCATGAGGTATTAACTTTGGTCAGGACTCAGCAGTGAGCAAACGGAAAAGATAACATCTTATTAACTAGGAGGTTTGTTGTAGGCCTAAGAATGGTGTCTAAACACATTGATTCAAGTTCCTAGTGTAGCCCAAAAAACGAAAGAATTCTTAACTTTTTGAAAAGAGGATCACTGTCACAGTTATTTTAAACTTCTAATCAATACAGAAGTTCACAAATGGAGCTGAATGCAGCTATACAGCTGAACCACATATGCTTAATAGTTGTTCATTTCACAACTACATAATATATTAGGTATTCACTTACTTCACTATCCCTTTTGGCAGCAGGCTTGTATGGACAAGCTTAGAGGAGCCCTCTCAGCCGAAAAGCAGATACACTTTTCCCTGAAAAATTGATGAAGTTCAGAAACAACAGAAAATAGTATTACAGGTACATGCTTATTAAGAGAGTAAAGAATGATTCAAATTTCTCCTACTATGGTTTTCTTTTACCCCATTGATTATCAGGTAAAATACAAATTACCTCCTTCAAGTTTGGGCAATAATCAAAGCCAACTTATATGTTCAACCGCATGAACTGAGAGTTTGTGAATTGGTTATGTATTCAAAATCTCGTTAAAAAAATAAGATTATTACGGATCCATAGAGTTAATACAACGATTAATGGAATGGATGCACTTACCATAACATAATAGAAGAGAATACGCAATATGTTGACAATCGGGACGAGGAAAAAGGGCAATAGGCAACCCAAGCAAAACCTAAATCACATTTATTTACAAATTACTATAAAATTAGAAACAAAAAGATGAATCGATTATCATGTTGGAATGAAATTATCTATTGAAGTTGATGCATGAACGAAGAACCCCGAACCCTAGAAGATGAGTTGCGTGCTACGGCAAAAATGGGATTGGTTCATTTTAAAATTTAAGATGAAATAAAAAATGGCCCATGCAGGTCTCGAACCTGCGACCTTCGCGTTATTAGCACGACGCTCTAACCAGCTGAGCTAATAGGCCATGTTGATGATGTCTTCTTATAAATTATATAATTACATACATTATAATTTGTTTTCTCAAAGATTTAAAGAATTTTATTTCATCGACAATTTTTTTTTTTTTTTTTTGTGATATTTATGAGAGTGGGAAAATGCAAAAGAACATTGAAAATCACTGAATTACCATTTTAGAAAACAGAATTTGTTATAAGTATGGGTATTCAAAACCTGATCGAGTCTAGAACTACGGGGAATGATGTGGGGTCTGTTTGGTTGTGTTCTGGTTTTTTTGTTCTTAAAACTATTTTGTAAAATAGTTACGGAAACTTGTTATAAAAAAAAAAATTAGTTACGGAAACTCTGTTTTCTATATTTTTTTCTTTTTGAAAGTTAAAAACTAAAACAGAAAACAAAAACAACTGAGACATGCTCTCTAAATTTTGATTTTAAAAACAAAAAATAGTTATAGTTTTCAAAACATTTTTTACAAAACAGGTCTTACCAAACGAGTTTTTTAGTTTTTTTGTTCTGAAAACTAAAAAACTGTTTTGAAGAACAGTATTCAAATAGAGCCGTGATCTTCTGCTTTTTTGGGTCAAAATTTACATTGGATCAATCTGGCCAGATATCACAAAATGTTTTAAAAATACATTTTTATAATTAGTAAATAATTGAACTTATTGATTTAAACTAGTTTCTCCTTCACAATATCATAGTATATTTGTATTAATAATTTTTTTCCAAAACATATATGATAAATTATTTCTTAAATTTAATTTCTTACTTCAAAATTTTACGATTTTACGATGCATAATGTTCAAATTTGTATATTTTATCTAAATATCAGAAATATTTAAGGTACAACGATGATACCAATTATTCAGTGCGATCGGTCAATAGAGAGATGCCACCTCAGCAGCTTTTTGTACGGAGAGAAAAATAAAAAATAATTTTTATAATTTACTCTATGTACTTCAAAGAATACATAATTTAAATTATAAAAAACGCACCCAATTGGATATCTTCAAGGAAGCACGGACACTTGTAAAAACAAGAAGAGTCGGGTCCGACACGGCGACACGCTCTGACACGGTGTCGGACACGCGGTTGACTTTTTTCGACACGTTGATCATTCCGACACGCGAATTTGACCGTGTCCGACACGGTCAAATGGCATTTTCGTAATTTTTTTTATTTTTTTTTTAAAAATATTTTTTAAAAAGTTAAAATATATTAATAAAGCTTCCACATGATCATATCAATTTTATCTTTTTGTCTTTTTTCTCCTTAAGTAGATAAGAGATCATCTCAGCATCATTGTTGTCAATTCCTATCACGCTCTTGTTGTATCTTCTTCTCTCTGATCTCTCTCTAATATGATTTGATCTCTCTATCTGATATTATATCTCTCTCTCATCCCAGTTTTTATTTTTTTTATTAAAGCTTCCATCTTTATAACATGTTGATGGGTATTATTAATTTAGTTTCATTTTTTTGTTAAATTATTAAATATTAAATGAAGTATACACTATATAAATTAAAAATATTATTTAATATTAAAACGTGTCCCAACGTGTCGAAATCCATAATATTTTAGAATTGACGTGTCAGAGTGTCGTGTCGTGTCGTGTCACGTGTCGCGTGTCGTATCAGTGCTACGTAGGATATCATTGCCGTATTGTAAATGTGCTCGTAAATATCATAATAACACGGTGATTGGTCGGATTATGACCTTTGATCAGTTGAATTTCAGTAAAAAATATGGCCCGGTTAAAATACGAGGAAAGATTAGAACCATGTTAAACTCAATCTATGAGATATCTTATTTGGCAAAAAAAAAAAAGAGTAAGCTGAAAATTATTTTTAAGCTAAACTTAAAAAAATTGCCTAAAAAATATAGTTAAAAGCTATTTGATAATTATATAAAATTGTTCTTAGAAATTTAAAGAAAGGGAGATGAAATAATTTGTTATTAGGATAAATGACAAAAATTTATACATATAAATTTAGAATAAGGGTAAAATATGAAAAAAAATATCCTGAGAACTCCAAAATACTAACATATATCTTGCAAAAAACTCTTCCATGGAGCTTTTATTTTTTTATTTTTTTCTTTATTATAAAAAAGTTCTTTTATGATAAAAGATTATGTAAAATTATGTTTAACTATACTCCTACTTATAACGAGAAAAAAAAAAAAAAAAAGCTCTCCAACTAACACTATAACAAGTGAAAAGATGAAAGAACTTCTTTAACTTGTTCACCGGAAGGGGAAAATATTTCTCTGGCACAAAAATTTTTATTTATATCTGCACATTTAATAGCGTTAATTTTTGTAACCTCCAAAAAAAAAGTAGCGTTAATTTTTTTTTAAAAATTTTAAATGCATTAAAAAACAAAAAAAAATAAACAAATAAAAGAAAAAAAAACTTCAATTTAACATAAAATAATAATAATCAAGAGTCAACTAAGCTATCATAATTTCAAGCAATGATTATTTGTTACGATTTTTATTTGTATAGCGATGAACAATAATCTTGTCCTATTTTTTATTATTATTTTAATATTAAATATAATTATATATCACAAGTGAGGGTAAAAATTTTTACATTATGAGTTGTACAACATTTCATAGAAACTCCAATAAGTTTCAATATTTTTGGTTGTAAAGCCAACTTTATATCTAAAAGATGCATGGCTAGAGATTTCCAACAGTACAATAGCCAACTTTTTCATGTGTCCTTAACACTAGTTTTAACCTTGGCATATTTTACAATATGAACTGTTCAAATCACCTCTTAATCCTTTGCAAATAAAATTCTCCCACAAAAACTTGTGTCTGCAAGTGCCCACATTTGCAATAGTGTGGGTCCGCCAATATATATATATATATATATATATATATATATATATATATATATATATATATGATCCTTTGACACTTCATCTGAAAACCATTAGATCAAAAAAGATCAATGATGTCACATGCTTACAAACCAGAGTCGTTGATCTTTTTTGATCTAACGGCTCTCAGATGAGATGTCAAATTTTAAATTTGACACCGGTATCAAATGATCCTACCTCATATATATATATATATGGCAAATATAAGAATCATGTTGCAGGAATGACACTGTTCATTCCTGCAACAAGGATTCGGCAACGTATCTTGAGGATACGACGCCGTATCCTGATTTTGGTTTGACTTTTTTTTTTAAGCGTGGGACCCACACTTGATTTGTGTGTGCAGGAAAATAGTCTTGTCATGTGACATGACAAAAAGCGAACCCTATATATATATATTGTCTAAGATAAGAAAGAGTAGGAAGCTACAAAGTTATATGATAATAATGACTCCTGGAATCTGTTTAACAACTTATGTCTTGGGCTTGCATTATGTACTTTTAGCAATAGAAACCGAGAGGAAACACAGCTAGCATAGTTAAGGATTATGTGTAACCGTAAGAATTTTTTCCTTTTTTTGCCATGAAATACAAGCAAAATTTGATTGCATATCAGTGATTAAAGAAATTAAAGAAATTTGATTACATCATTTTCCTTTCTTCATGCAATCATATTAATTGTTATGGCTTTTGAGTATATCCATTTTCATTTTAGCAAGTTTGTTAAAAGACATGGATTTAATTGAGTTTCCTGGAACTCCCAAGTCTCCACAATGCTCGTCTTCCCTAGGACTAGCTCGTGAAACTTGTCAAAGCAGAATTTCTCAACCATATTGAACAAATTATGTTATGTGAGACCGTAGGAAAGTTCAGAAAGAAAAAAGAGTACCTATGTTATTCTTGGCAGCCTCCACCCAAGAATTTCTCACATTATTAAATGATTGACAAAACAGAAATAGGGTATTTAGTGTACCTATGATTTAGATAATGATATGATCATGGTGGTCATACTTTTGTTTTTGTATACAAAATGTGTACACGTCACATCAAAGACAATATGCTTCAATGATTCCATCCCAACCACGACATGCCTTTGATTAAGCACTCTCATTCTCCTTGCAAGGAACGTTAGTGCAGCGGCAAACAGGTCTACCAGAAGCTTCCCATCCATTGAAGCCACGTTCTAAGACCATAATGTTTTTTATCCCAGCATCTTCCTTACTCTCCTCAAGATAATTGACAAACTTCCTAGCACAAGTTGGGCCACGAACCTACAGAGTAGTTTATGCCACTTTCAGTTTAAAGAGACACATTCTGGTATCATACAAAAAGGGTATAGGAAGGCATTCATGTTCCCATCACAAGGCATGTCAAGTTGATTTTTGTAAGATATAATATAACTACAAAGATACCTATAAAAAGTTAATATCATGTATATCTAGTGCATCTTTGAACTAACTCAAATGCAGAAAAAGGGAATAAATTGTAACATAAGTTGAATAACAGCTCTGTCAGGCATAGGAATCACTATGCACATTCTGAAAAAGCAGTAGCAAGTGGAAGAAACAAACCAAACTCCTCCCCATTAAACCGGGATGGGGGAATCATTCTATGTAGCCTTATCGTTGCATATTTGCAAAGAGGCTATTTCCGGATTCGGATTCGAATCCATGATCTTTTAGTTACAAAGGAACAGTTTTACCACCGCTCTAGGCTCGCCCTCTAAATCAACAAATAAGCTAAATAAATCAACAAATGAATATAAGAAGCTGATCAATCAATCATGTAGAATTTGAAATTATACAAGAAGAAGAAGATCATCCTAAGAACAGAAATCAGATACAGAAATTTAATATTTCACTTTGCCTAAAGCAATGGAAGATGGTGAAAAAACAATATTAACAAATTTAATTCCTTATTTTTCTTTCTTAAGAAAGGAGTTCTCATCCTCTCGTACCATTCCAGGCCTTTCCTCACAAACTGCTGGCTTTCCTCAGTCCTCTCTCTTCGATTTTCTTTCGGCCAACTCCCTTTCCTATTTTTAATCTCTTCTTTTGCATCAAAACACTGTCTCTCTCTCTCTCTCTCTCTCACACACACACACACGTTTGATTTCTACAAATAACCAAAACTAGTCACGATTGTGAAGCCAACTAAAACAAAAGTTGACATTTAAGGACACCAGCTATAGACCTGTCAAAGAAAACACCAAAATTAAGAACAGGGCCTCTCACGAAAAGAGTTGCTCACAACAGAAATTCATATAGTTGTGATTTGTGCCCGGAGAAGAGGTAAAAAAACTGGGTAAAATAGTTCCATATGATAATGGAGAGCTATATTCCACCCCCTCCTCTTTCCCAATGACAAAATGTTTTTCTCCATATCATGACTGTCCAAGCATCTCGGTTTATTGTGTAACTTGTAGGTTTGTTGCTAATCTACTATTAAGGACAATTTTCAGCCTATGATACTTAAATAAGATGTTACAACTGTCAATGACCAAATTTCCTAAAATTTAAGCTATTAGATGGAGACATATGGATGATTTTATATCTCTACCACACCCCTGAGCCCTTTGGGATTGAAGCATGGACAAACCATTGGCATACTCACCTTGTGCTGAAATTCATCTTTGTTTAGACGAATGCAAACTCCTAACACTTGTTAATAGAGGCTCTTATACCATGTCAACGACCAACTCTCCCAAAAGCTTAAGCAGATAAATGAAGATACATAAATGGTTATTGGTTTTATATCTCTAACAACAGCCTGGAATTTCAGAAGTCTAATGCTAATAATTTGTGATATTATAAGTAGCACTGGGGAAGGAGTTCCAATATAGTTGGTAAGTTACCATCCTAGTCGCTGATATTGTATTCTTTTTTTGTTAAATAGTTTAAGCTATTGCTCCAGCTCCCTCGAATACCATTTTTGGAAGAATTTTTGTTAGTTTAAATAGCATTCATGGCTGCACCACGACACGTCTTCATTTCCAACGGCTAGAGGTGCTGGCAGCAAAGTTCAGTTTCAATCTTAACGTATTTGGATTTCACTAATGTATAAAGTCAAAACTTCAGAAAAGCATAGACTCTGAAAAAATATATCAAGAAGGATTGTTTTAAAGTTTTCCAAAAATTGAACTTTTGGTGCATTGAAAATTTGGGACCCTTCATCCACAGTTAGCTGTTTAACAGCATGACCTAAACAGCAGTATGCTGTCCTATGCTAAATCAAAAACGAGGTAAGATACCTAAAAATTTCTCAGTCATGTCATGTCCATATTCCTCATAACATATGGAATTGGAATAATATATCATCTATAATAATAATAATAATAATAATAAATTAAAGGCGAACCTGACTTAGAGCGCAGTGGAAGACAAGGGTGTCTTTGCCTTTAACTTGCTGAATGAGATTTGAGATGTTTTCGGCGAAAGTGTCGCTTGCGTAATGGACAGACCCTGATATGTGCCCATCATAACTCCTCTCGTCGTCCCTAAACAAAACAACCCATCAATCAAAATTCAATAACAACAAAAACGAACCGGACAGTAAGTGAGGGGAAACCAAACCACCGTACCTGACATCGACGATGGCAATGTTTGGTTGGCGTCTCAGAGAGAGAAGCTGCGACCCAGTAATGTACGAGATACTGCGAGCCATCATTTCTCTTCGCTTCTCTTCCTCCACTCTTTTTTCTTTTCCTACTTTCTCAATGTGTGTAAGTTTTTTACTTTTTATTTTGTTATACAATTTATTACGCCACGATATTTATAAAATAATATCTGGTAGTATAAAGTCTGATTGTATAAGATTTAATTGAATTTCAATACTATTAAGCGTTTGGCACGATATTGTATAAAATAATATATTATATAAGATAATATCATCTAGTATTTGGTAATGCACTGTATAATACTATATATGATAAAAATAAATATTTTTAATAAAAATATCCTTTAATAAAGAATTTATATAATTCTTCAAAAAACGTCATATAATATTAATTTTTATAAAAATTTATTGATCAGTGTATCCAAAATATAAATTAATTTTTATAAAACTAAAAATATTCAATATTTCAAAAATTAATATATTGAAAAATAAATTTTATTTTAATAGATTAATATTAAAATAATATATTAATTTTTGAGAATTACATTGGTCAACGTTGTTAATAGATCAATCTCTTATCAGGTCTTATCCCTCACCCTTAGGCCGGATTAAGTTATACATCGATTTGATGTATTAAGGGATTATGCTGTATAAGCTTATATTATACGGTGGTCACACCAAACAACTGAAAATGTCATAACGTATAGTATAAGCTTATACTATCATGCTTTATACGTCACACCAAACAGGCTCTAAAAGTTCGCCACTTCAACCAAGAAGATGAATTTTTTGCAATAAACATATTTTTTTTTTTTTGGTAAGCACAATCAACATATTTATTTACACTAAGAGTGCGTTTGGATTGCATTTTAAAAAAAGTTACTTTTATGCCCTATTTATTTTAAAAGTTCTTTTTATAAAAATTAAAAATATTTAGATTTTTGAAGAAGAAAAAATTAGCTTCTGAAAAAAATAAGTTTTTAATTTTTTTTATGACTTCTACTTTTTTTAGAAGTAGCATCCAAATGTACTTTAAAATAAAAGTGCTTTTTTGGTGGGGGAAAAGTAACTTCTAACTGAAAAAAAGCTCATCCAAACGGGCCCTAAGATCCGCGGTACGAATTTTGATATTTAAAAAAAAAATTACTTTTATATATTGGTGTAAGAAAAATTATTTGTAGATAAGTTTTTATTATTATATTGTAAAATTTTTAACGGCGCAATTTTTTATTTTATAGTATTTTTAGTAAGGGAAATGTTATATTTATCACCAATTAAGTTTATTACTTCTTATCACCACATTTTAATCGTTGATTTTTGTCAATCTAACAGGTATAATTTATTGGACGTCACTTATTAATTAATTATTAATTCCTAATAAATTATAACTGATTGACATAAATTAACGGTTAAGAATTGGTGGTAAGAAATGGTAAAATTAATTGGTGGTAAATATAACTTTTTTTTTAAGTACCTTCCTCTTTTATTAAATAGAATAAAAGAAATTGTCTAAAGAAATTTCTGATAGAGGAAAGGTTGGTATTGGAAGTGAAAATATGTCTTTACAAGCAGTACCAAGTCAAAGGAGTGAGCCTAAGGAGTGAGAAATCTCAAGGAAAAGAAATTCTGAAGCAAAGTTGCAACCTTCAATTGGCAGCTATTTTGAACCAAGGTTTGGACAATGAAAGTCTGGATCAAAAATTGGTTAGAGGGGAACTAGAATCGAAGCCTCCAGATGTGATGATGGTGGTTAAGCATCAAGAGGGTCAAGCAAATGATAGTCTACAAAATATTGCTGGAGCAGAAGCCTTCATGCAAAAGAGTAAAAAGGAGCAGGTATCCCTTAAATCTGCATTTAATCAAATTAGTTATTAATGAATTTTCTGATTTGGAATTCTAGAGGGGCTGCCAAAAGATAATTTGGTGGAGCTCTTAAGACAATGGTTAGGAAGAATAATGTAGACATTGTTGTCCTACTTGAGCCTAGAACTCAAAGTGGAGTTTGTAATAAGCTCCTAAAAAAACTAGGTTTTGATAGTTTAATTGTGGAAGAGGCTGTTGAGTTTGCTTGTGGGATTTGGGTCATGTGGCATAGCAAAAAAGCTGAAATAGGTATGTTATCCAAAACCTCCTAATTGATTCACTGTAATGTGAAAATATCTTCGAGCCAGTCCTTTTATTTTACAACTATTTATGCTAGTCCTACTCAAGCATTGAGAGAAAATCTGTGGAATGATTTGCGTAATCTCAGTACCTCTATTTCTAAACCATGGATCTTAGGAGGAGATTTTAATGAAATTGCATTTACACATGAAAAAAAGGACGAGTCAGGGTTGATTCATCAAGGTGTGGTAAGTTTGCTCAAGTTCTTGAAGACTGTAAAGTAGTTTATATGGGCTACGATGGTTCTCTATTTACTTGGCAAGGTCCAAAATGGGCGAATCTAGATAGAATTTTTAAAAGAATAGATAGGGTGGTGGAAAATCTGGATTGGAGAGTTGTGTTTGAGGAAGCTAGAGTCTATGCTCTTTCTCGTTTACTATCTGATCATAATCCTCTTATTATCAAGCTTTTTGAAGATGCCAGAGATAGAAGCATGAGGCCATTTCGTTTCTTTGCAGTTTGTCAGGAGCACCATTCCTTTAATGAATTTCTGAAAGCAAAGTGGGATCCTGACTTTGATTTACCATATATGTTGCAAAGGCTAATACCAGATATTAAAGTGTAGAACAAAGAAGTTTTTGACAACATTGATAGAAGGAAAAGTAGTCTTGTTAACAGAATTGCTAAGTTACAGGGTGAGCGTGAGCTGAATGATTTAGATATTTTGAAGAGAATGGAGGAAAATTGTCAAAGTTTACTGCTAGATGTCCTTAAAGAAGAGGAGCTTTTCTTGTACCAAAAGTCTCGTCAAAAGTGGATAGTGGATGGGGATAGAAACACAAGATTCTACCATCTAAGTACAGTTGTAAGGAGGAGCTCAAATAAAATTTCTAGACTCAGAAATGACAATGGTGCCTGGGTTTCTGAAACAAAGGAGCTTAAGTTATTAGCCTGTAATTTTTTTAAAGCTCTTTATTACTTCTGAGAATTCGTGGCCAGCTCTTTCTAGTTGTGATATGGTATGTCTTAGCAAGTATCCGGCTGAAATGGAAGTAAAGCACACGATTTTCAACATGGGCAGTTTTAAAGCTCTAGGGATTGATGGTTTCCCTGCCATTTTCTACAAGAAAAATTGGGGACTTATTAAATCACAAGTTTGCTCCCTAGTGCAGCAGATTTGGAATTACCCTGATATGTTGGCTTCTATTAATTCCACCTTATGGTTCTTATTCCTAAGGTTCAGAATCCATCTCTGATTACTCAATTTCGGCCTATTTCTCTTTGCCCGGTGGTTTACAAGATTGTTAGCAAGATCATTGTCAGTAGATTAAAGCCAATCATGACTAAAGTGGTGTCTCCAGCTCAAACAAGTTTTGTTCCTCAGAGACATATTCAAGACAAAATTATTATTGCTCAAGAGCTTGTTCACTCTATGAGGAAAATGAGGGGGGAAAGGTGTTTCATGGCAGTTAAAGTTGATCTTGAGAAGGCCTATAACCGTCTTAACTGGAATTTTATTCGGCAAATCTTGGAAGAGATTAAGGTACCTGGTCATTTAATTAAATTAATTATGGCAGTTGTTTCTAATCCAAGGACCAGTGTAATTTGGAATGGCAACTTCATAGAGGAATCCTTTGTCCCCTTATTTGTTTGTCCTAACTATGAAAAAACTTTCTCATATCATTGATACAGCTGTTAATGGTGGCATGTGGAAGTCGATTAGAGCAGGAAAAAGGGGCCAAAAATTTCTCATTTGCTCTTTGCAGATGAACTGATGTTGTTTCAATAGGCTAGTGAGTAGGGGTGTTAACGGGCCGAGCCGAGCCGAGCTTTGATCTTAACGGGTCAAGTCTGTATTTAAACGTGTCCGACTGGCCTTAGCCTGTTACCTGTTACGAATATAATATTGGCTTGTGGCCTGAGTTATTTACAAAAAATAAAAGCCTGTGTGAAGTCTGTCTTAGCCTGTTAGTATGTTAAAGAATAAAAATAAGAGAACATAATTCCACAAAAAATCAATTTCCAGATAGAAACCTTAGCTTCCAATTTGCAGCAATAATTTACAAAGTCTACAATAAATAAAAAAAAATAAAGTGAGAGAAGGTAGATAACAGGTTATATTATCTTAGCCCATTATAAAAAAGTACCAACAAATATAAAAATAAAATAAATAAAATAAAAAATAAATTGACACAAACGAGCCGTGCACAGTGGAACGAATGAGTTTTTGTGGGGTTGTTTGTGTGAAGGAGGATGAAGGATAATATAGAACAACACTAGTAATTCCATAAATATACATAAATTCAATATATATCCAAATAGCATAATATAGAACAAAATCATTCAAAAAGTCTGTTAAATCAATAAAATGAGGTGAAATAAATTGATGAGAGAGAGTTATTACAAGTAGTATAAAAAGTATAAATAAATATTTATATACTAGGCTAGCCTGGGAGGCTCTAAGGACGAGCTTCTGAATTAGAGTCTGAGGCCTTTTTATTAAACGAGCTTTTATACAAGTCCAAGCCTGGTTCCAACACGAGCTTTTATTAAACGAGCTCAGACCTTTACGAACCGAGCCAAAGGCCCCTGGCTCGTTTTCCACCCCTACTAATGAGGAGAAGATTCAAGTTCTTCTCAGATATCTGAATTTATTTGGTGAAAATTTTGGACAAAAGGTTAGTCAACAGAAAACAAGTGTTTATTTTTCTAAAAATACTATAGATGATATTGCAAAAAGAATTACTGATGTGAGTGGGTTTAAAAAGGTCTCTAATATAGGAAGGTATTTGGGTGTAATGATAAACCATGGTAGAGTAAATAAAAATTTGTTTGCTGGAATTACTAAAAGGATGAAGGAAAGATTGAATAGTTGGCAGGCTCATTCTCTCTCTCAAGCCGGAAGAGTGATCCTTGTTCAATCTGTTCTAGGTGCAATACCATATTATCATACGTAGAGCACTATGATTCCCAAGAGTATTTGTAATGAGATG